CTGATGTTTGTAACACCCAAAAATATTGGTTCTACACCCACCTTAAAGTATATCAATCGGCTCAGAATCACTTTATGAGTCGATTTAGCTATGTCCGTCTGTCCCTCCGTCCGTCCGTCTGTCTGTCTGTCTGTCTGTCTGTCTGTCTGTCTTTTTTTTAGAGATTTGAGAACGATTTGAGAATAGTTTTGGGAAATTTTTATAGATAGTACTGCAATATCCATTTCTTTATAGGAAAAAAGTAAAATTTACAATATTGTTAAGGTTGGAGAAATTTATTTAAATTATAAAATATTGTCTCTTAATTTTAAAACAGATGTTTTGTTAGAATGAAACTAAAAATTGCATATGTTTAATAAATATATTTAACAAACAGATTTCTATAATAATTTTTTTAAAAAAAGAAACAACAAATAATAATTTGAACTTGTTATCTATTTATTTTTTATTTGCTTTTTTTATCTTTATAAAATTGTTTACTCATACTAAAAATAATAACAACAACAACATAACATATACATAGAAATATTTACCCATATACATAAAAACCTACATGTCTGTCTAGATGTTTAACACCATATTAAAAAAAATCTTATGTTTAAACTCTCCTTAAAAAAAAAAAAAAGAAATTGTCTCTATATATGAATTTTTATGGTTTATGACATACAAACCATAATAATAACCACCAAAAAAATATAGTACTTTTATCTCTAGAGACCCAGAAAAACCAAAAAAATATAACACAAGTATTCTTACAAACACACTACAAATCGACTAGAACTTAAAATACAAAGTCTGTAGAAAATTTAACGCTTCCCCCAATTACTTCGAACAACAGAAAAAAAAACCGAAAATTATCAGCAGATAGTAAAAATAAATTGTTAAGATAACACTTAGTATTACATACTGACACAGTTATGTATATACTTTTCAAAAAAAAAAAAAAAAAAAAAACACCCCAAAATTGCTTAATTATATTGTCAAAGTGTAGGAAAATTTAAGAAAACAAAATTGAAATTCTTATAGTTATTCACATTTTTATATAAAATTTATAAAAAAAAATTTCTCATGCGGGTTTTTATTTCAAAGCTCTTAAATGATTTCGTTACAATTTCTTTAATTTATTTAGATTATTTTAATAAAACTGCTGGTGTGATTTGTTTTTCTTTTTAATTAAAAATTTTGAATTTCCCCATGTTCTCACCCCATAAATGTCTGATCTTTTCAACTTTTCATTCATAACTTAACATTTAATTATGGTATTGATAACCCGCATTTCAATTGTATTATTGATTGATATTTGTTGAAATTTCCCAAATAAAATTTTCTCATGCATTTTAAATATTTATAGACATTTTATTTCATTGAAAATTTGGGGGAGGATTTATTTTGTGTGTTTTTAAGGGTTAAAAAAATAGGCTTAATTTATTCATAAGAAAAACTGAAAATATTTAGTTTTTAGTGTTAAGTATGTGTAATCTGTTTAAAGCATTAAATACTTAAAATTTTTAAATCAAATCTTCAGAAAAAAATAAAAAAATTCTTTAATATTTAGTTAACAGTAAAAATAATGGGAAATATGTGTGCTTAGGGATAGTTCCCCTTGAAGTAGTGTCAAAAAAATCTTTAATATTCCATTAAATTTATACTAATATTCAAGAAAATATTTTCAAATATGTGTAATAGGCAAAGGGATCTCTAAAGAGCTGTTTTGAACTGCTCTACATGTATCAAAATCAAACAAAACTAGTTAGAAAGCTCTTCAATTACTCTCTATCAATAGATGATTAAAAGAAGATATCAGCTAAGAGAGCCTATTGCTAAAACAGTAATAGGCAAATTTTTAAAGAAAATTTGTTTTTAATTTTAAATGAATTATGTTTATAATCATAAAATTAATTTGTATTTTCATATATATTTACTTTTATTTGATTAATTATGTAATTTATCATAGTCTGTAAGAAAATTGTTTCTAGACTGAATTTAAATAAATAAATAAATAATAAATAGTTTTCTTGCTTTAAAACGTAAGTAAGCTTATTCATATAAACTATAATTCAAATCATTTAGAGAGCTTTTTAAACACTCTATGTCATATGTAAGCTTATGTTCGTGTAAACAAAAGCTAACAAGGAGATAGCACTTAGTCTCTAAAGATCTGTTTTAAACTTCTTCACATTTATACAAATCAAGCAAAACCAGTCGGACAGCTCTTTAATTACTCTCTGTCAATAGATAATTAAAAGCGACTATCAGCAAAGAGAGAGAGAGTGAGACAAATGAGCTCCTTTACATGTATAAAAAACAAAACCAGTCAGAGAGTTACATTTGCAGTCTCTACTTTAAAACGTTAGTAAGCTTAATCCTGTAAAAAAACTAAACAAAATCATTCAGAAAGCTCTTTATTTACACTCCATCAATAGATGATAAAATGCGGTTAGTTAGTTAGTTAGTTAGTTAGTTAGTTAGTTAGTTAGTTAGTTAGTTAGTTAGTTAGTTAGTAGTTAGTTAGTAGTTAGTTAGTTAGTTAGTTAGTTAGTTAGTAGTTAGTTAGTTAGTTAGTTAGTTAGTTAGTTAGTTAGTTAGTAGTTAGTTAGTTAGTTAGTTAGTGTAGTTAGTTAGTTAGTTAGTTAGTTAGTTAGTTAGTTAGTTAGTTAGTTAGTTAGTTAGTTAGTTAGTTAGTTAGTTAGTTAGTTAGTTAGTTAGTTAGTTAGTTAGTTAGTTAGTTAGTTAGTTAGTTAGTAGTTAGTTAGTTAGTTAGTTAGTTAGTTAGTTAGTTAGTTAGTTAGTAGTTAGTTAGTTAGTTAGTTAGTTAGTTAGTTAGTTAGTAGTTAGTTAGTTAGTTAGTTAGTTAGTTAGTTAGTTAGTTAGTTAGTTAGTTAGTTAGTTAGTTAGTTAGTTAGTAGTTAGTTAGTTAGTTAGTTAGTTAGTTAGTTAGTTAGTTAGTTAGTTAGTTAGTTAGTTAGTTAGTTAGTTAGTTAGTTAGTTAGTTAGTTAGTTAGTTAGTTAGTTAGTTAGTTAGCTGTACTGGACTAGAATACTAACCTCTCGGAGGTCACAAGTAAGCTTACTCGTGTAAAAAACAAACAAAATCATTCAGAGAGTTCTTCAGTTACACTCTGTTAACTCACGATTAAAAGAGTATATCTGCAAAGAGAGAGAGAGATAGTGAAAGTGAGAAAAATAAGCTTTATGATTCATTTTGTTTCATTTTATACATGTATAAGCTTGTGTTGGTGTAAAAGATAGATAGCTCTGGAGAGAGCTCTTTGCCGGTAATAGTTTTAAATTGAGAAAGTTTTGAAAACTAATTTCTTCTCAGAGATCAAAATGTATTAACTTTCTAGACAAACTGGACTAGTGACTTCAATCTCAATTGATCTTAGACTGAGAATAATTTAAAATCAACTAACTCTCTTGTCAAACGTCAAAAATTTGAAAAAATTTTTAAATTGTTTAAAAATTACTGTTAAACGAAAAATCTAATCGTAGTTTTCTTTACTCTTAAATCATTCGAAAAACTTGTCCTGAAATGTGAATAACACTTACAACAACAAAAACCTTCACAACTGTCATGTTTGATAACGTTTTGAAGAAGATTGGAGTTTTCTCAGTTTTCTCAACATTGAATTGAAATTAATTTGAAAAATGATTTTGTTATCAATATATTCGTTTAATTTCCAATTTATTTCAAAAAATAGTTTGGAAATTCTTTTTATTAGATTAGAGAACAATTTAAGAAATATATTTGTAAACATGTTTCTAAGTTTAGTGTTAGTTTTAGATTTGATTTTAGAGAATGATTTGAAGTAAGATTTTTCAAAAATATTTTTAAAACATTTTTAAATAAAATTGGAACATTGAAAACTTTGTTAAACCTTTGAGAATTTGATATCAAATTATAAAAGTTTAATAAAATTTTATTCAAATTTAATAAAATTTAAAAAGAAATTCACACATTTTTATGATAGATGTTAATTGCTTATAGTTTTTGAGTTACAAAAGAAAATCTTTCAAAGATTGATTAATTGAATTAAAAATATTCAAATTATTATTAATTGAAACAATAAATATTATTGTTGAAATGCTACTTTTTATAAAAATTTTGAGGTTATATAATAATAATATTGTCTCCACTAAGTAGGGACTTAAACCAAAACTCAAATAATTTATTATATCTTTATTTTTAGTCAAATTTTATTTCAAAACTTTTTAAAATCATCTCAAAGCAATTCATTTCTCAAGCCTTAAATTGTAAATACATATAAATCTAAAACAACAACGAACTCATATCATATTGATCGTATTAAAAGCTTTTGATGTTGTCACTCATTATCGATGTGATCATATACATATATTAATAAAAGTACGTTAAAACTCTTATTTTCTTTCGCCCGCTCGCTCTCACTTTAAATCTCTTCTAAACTACAAACAAACACCCACCAATCTCAGCCACCAACTTAGCCAAGACACATAATAATTTGTTTTGTCTTAGATAAAATTTTCCAAAAGAAAAAATCATGTTTAAAAAACATCATTTTGTTTAATATAACTAGAAAAAGAAGCCTGTTATTTTTTTAAATAAAAAATTTATTTTAAAATCCGATAAATCTATATATAATTTATATTTTTTAAATAACTACATATACATACGATTTATATACTTATTTTTTTTAATAACCATTATGTATTTTTGTAAATTATTATATTGATGTTTGTTTAATTATTGTGTGTATTTTTATATTGCTGCATTTTTTCTCATAAAATATTTTTTCTTTTTTTCTTTTTTCCATATACTCGTTATACGTATCAAAAAAAAAATTAAAACAAAATTTCAAAAAAATAATCTAATTATTATCGCACCATTCAATATAAAAACAAAAAAAATCTAAAAAAAACATCACCAAAAAAATAATAATTTTCTATAAATATGAAACCACCAAACCACTTTGAAATCAACCAAAATGCCACCCTGCCACCACCATCATCTAAATCTAAAGGACTAAAACCAAAAACGAAATAATTCAAATAAATCAAACAACATTGTAACCAAACATCTAACCGTTGTTGCGTGTTGCATTGCTTACACAGCGAAAGAAATCACCAAAATTACAATAATTAATCTAAGGAAGTCATTAGTGGCATAAGCTGAAGCAAAAAACAAAAAAGAAAAACTCACAATTACTTACCTTTAATACAAAACCAAAAACAGAAAGCAAGAAAGAAAAGAATCATACAAATTAAGCTTGCAAGTCAAAGCTAAAAGGGCAAATGAACGTATAACTACTGCAAGGACTAAAGCAAATCACTTGAAGCTTGATCTTAAAGACGCCAAACGCCTTCAGGATATCAAAATAAAAACCCAAATTAAGCTTTCATAGCATGAATATCAAATTGTAAGCTAAACCAAGAAATAAAAAATAAAAGCTTTAATCACAATAAAAGTAAGGCTACCAGCTCTTTTACTCAGCAAGCGTTTTATAATTGTTGTCTACTCTCTCTCTCTCTCTATAATACAATCATCATTATCCACGTCAAGGATATAAAAACGAATATAACTTTCCCAAAAAAGTTTAAAATATATACATACATATAAAACTAAATAATAAAACTTAGTTGTGTTTTTAATTTTGGTTTTTTTGCTTTTTACGCTCATCATCCCAGAAAAACTGTCTCTATAATATAATTTACCTCCTCTGTATTTCTTTATATTGAGGATCAGCATCTTTCGTCAGAAACCAAATCAAAAATCAAAATAAATCATTGTCAAAATCCGCCAAAAAAAAAAGCTCTCAAATAATCACCAATACCACCACTACCACCACCACCAAACCACCACAAAACACAAATAACATCCAATAAATTAAATTTAAAAAAAAAACCAAATAAATCGACTCAAAGGAAACTTTGTGTTAATAAAAAGTTTTTTTCCGTACTTTGAATAAATAAAAAAAACTCAAAATTCTCATCAAAATGGAAGATGCTAACATGGAAACTTGCCCCAGTCCTGAAATAGGCGACTCTAGAAAAAGACCACTCGATACTGATCCCGAAAATGAACAAACAAAACGCTCACATTTCAGTTCTGGTAAGTTTTTTTTCTTTAACAACAAACAAATTCATTATTCTCTTTATGATTTACATTACTCTTTCTCTCTCTATCTCTCTATATCTCTACTCGTAATCGTTTTCATTTAAGTTTTATTATCATTCTTATCATTCAATCAATCGTTTCAATCATAAATGAAAAGCTCTCTATCTCTCTCGCGCGTTCTCTTTTACATTTTCGTTTATTTTTTCAATAAGTGTTTTTTATTTAACAAAAAAACTCTTTCTCTGTTCATAAATCGTTAAATAATCGTCATTTGTCATTTAAAGCAAATCGTGTGTGTTATCAAGCCAGTGATCATTAAATTAGTGTGTTTATTTTGCTCTTTTTTATTGTTTCTAAAGCATTTAATTCTCTGTTGGCTTTTACGTTATTTTTTAAAATTTAAATAATAAATATTTTTAAAGTGTGCTTACTTTTAGTTTTTAAATACCTTTTTTTATAAATTAAGTTATATTAGTGAATTGTAAAATTCAGTTTGAGAAACTATTTTAATATTTAAATCTTTTTTGTAATAGGTATTAGTTTAGAAACCTGTAAATTATATAAAATTTTTATTAACAAAAGCTAAATTTGTTGGTATAATTTTAATATTATTGATATTTAAATTCTCTCTTCTTAGCCTAGACATAAATTAACATGTTATCTCTTAACATTCTTGGTAGCTAAGACATTAACCTGCTTAAAATATTTAATGCACAGGGGGAATGGAAAATTTAAATTTGTAATTAGTTTTCTACTAGATTAGTCTAGATGTAGACTAGACTAGACTATAGACTAGACTATAGACTAGACTATAGACTAGACTATAGACTAGACTATAGACTAGACTATAGACTAGACTATAGACTAGACTATAGACTAGACTATAGACTAGACTATAGACTAGACTATAGACTAGACTATAGACTAGACTATAGACTAGACTATAGACTAGACTATAGACTAGACTATAGACTAGACTATAGACTAGGACTATAGACTAGACTATAGACTAGACTATAGACTAGACTATAGACTAGACTATAGACTAGACTATAGACTAGGACTATAGACTAGACTATAGACTAGACTATAGACTAGACTATAGACTAGACTATAGGACTAGACTATAGACTAGACTATAGACTAGACTATAGACTAGACTATAGACTAGACTATAGACTAGACTAACTATAGACTAGACTATAGACTAGACTATAGACTAGACTATAGACTAGACTATAGACTAGACTATAGACTAGGACTATAGACTAGACTATAGACTATAGACTAGACTATAGACTAGACTATAGACTAGACTATAGACTAGACTATAGACTAGACTATAGACTAGACTATAGACTAGACTATAGACTAGACTATAGACTAGACTATAGACTAGACTATAGACTAGACTATAGACTAGACTATAGACTAGACTATAGACTAGACTATAGACTAGACTATAGACTAGACTATAGACTAGACTATAGACTAGACTATAGACTAGACTATAGACTAGACTATAGACTAGACTATAGACTAGACTATAGACTAGACTATAGACTAGACTATAGACTAGACTATAGACTAGACTATAGACTAGACTATAGACTAGACTATAGACTAGACTATAGACTAGACTATAGACTAGACTATAGACTAGACTATAGACTAGACTATAGACTAGACTATAGACTAGACTATAGACTAGACTATAGACTAGACTATAGACTAGACTATAGACTAGACTATAGACTAGACTATAGACTAGACTATAGACTAGACTATAGACTAGACTATAGACTAGACTATAGACTAGACTATAGACTAGACTATAGACTAGACTATAGACTAGACTATAGACTAGACTATAGACTAGACTATAGACTAGACTATAGACTAGACTATAGACTAGACTATAGACTAGACTATAGACTAGACTATAGACTAGACTATAGACTAGACTATAGACTAGACTATAGACTAGACTATAGACTAGACTATAGACTAGACTATAGACTAGACTATAGACTAGACTATAGACTAGACTATAGACTAGACTATAGACTAGACTATAGACTAGACTATAGACTAGACTATAGACTAGACTATAGACTAGACTATAGACTAGACTATAGACTAGACTATAGACTAGACTATAGACTAGACTATAGACTAGACTATAGACTAGACTATAGACTAGACTATAGACTAGACTATAGACTAGACTATAGACTAGACTATAGACTAGACTATAGACTAGACTATAGACTAGACTATAGACTAGACTATAGACTAGACTATAGACTAGACTATAGACTAGACTATAGACTAGACTATAGACTAGACTATAGACTAGACTATAGACTAGACTATAGACTAGACTATAGACTAGACTATAGACTAGACTATAGACTAGACTATAGATTAGACTATAGACTAGACTATAGACTAGACTATAGACTAGACTATAGACTAGACTATAGACTAGACTATAGGCTAGACTATAGACTAGACTATAGACTAGACTATAGGCTAGACTATAGACTAGACTATAGACTAGACTATAGACTAGACTATAGACTAGACTATAGACTAGACTATAGACATTTTGAAATGGTACTAATTTAGAGTGTAGTATATACTATAGACTAGACTATAGACATTTTGAAATGGTACTAATTTAGAGTGTAGTATATACTAGAGTATACACTACTCTATAGACAAGAGTATACACTAGTCTATGGACTAGAGTATACACTAGTCTATAGACTACACTATACACAGGTCTATAAACTAGATTATAGTTTAGCCTCTAGACTAGACTATAGACAAAAAATAAATTTAATACTCTGAAAAAAGTACTCTTAAAATATCTTTCTTATAAAAAAGTACTTTATTTGAAAAGTACATTTTCCAGAGTTTTAAATTTGAAATTAATATTAAAAAAAAGGTAAAAAGTACTTTTGTACCAAAAATTAAATTCAAAACGAAACACTTTGTTTTATATGAGCAAAAAAATTTTTTTATATACAAAATTTTTTGCATTATAAAGTAAAAAAGTACCAAAAAGAAATGTTTGTTTTCAATATCGAAAAAAGCAACATCATTTGTCTGATTTAAACCATTTACATTGACCACAATTTAAAATTCTTAGCAAAATCATCTGGCACTCTAAAAACTTTTTGTACAACAAATTGAAATGCTGTGACCAAAAGATGTAGTACTAGAATGCATTTGCCTCCAACAAGCCTCCATCAAATATTTCAATATTTAAAATAAATTTATGACTAAGAAGAAGGCAAAGGGGGGGTGGTTATAGAGGATTTTTGTCATAAAAATGACAAGTGGTGTTTTAAATGTTATGATGACTATGTGACTATTTTTCAAATTCAAATCCATACACACACACACGCACATACTTTTACATTTGTGCTCATAAGCATACAGTTGCAAACCAATACCAATTACCTCATTCTTCCATACATTTGCAGCAGCTGTTGTTGTAATTTTTGTGCCTATTGCATTTAAAAACATTTATAGTTGGATGCTGCTGCTGCTGTTGTTGCATTTTGGGGGGCATACAAAACTATAGTGGCACTTAAAAATTGAAGGACTTTTATTCCAATTTAGTTGTGTATTATTTTCTCTTGTTGTTGTTGTTGTTTTAGCTTGCAATAGCCACAATGACCCATTTACCCTTTTTGTGTGAGTATCTGTGTGAGTTTATGCTGAATTACCATACTTATTGTAAAGTGATAACCCCAAACAACACAAAACTACTAATTTTCTAAAGCTTTGTGTGTGTGTGAATCTGTAAGTGTTGCTGCATATGTAGCTGAGTTAGTCCTAATCTGCCGTTATTGTAAAAAACCCATACAATAGTAAAAAAAATCTACATTATTTGGGTTGCTTTTACAAGCTCCTCTTCTTAGTGTGCGTTTGCTACTATTTTTTTATAATTTTTCTTTTTTACTATTTTGGTCGGTCATATTTTTCCATTATGTATAATCATCCATCTATTTTGAAATTGTTTTCTGACCTCCTTCTCTGTTCTTCATCTTTGATAGTTTTATTTTTATTTTTTTTATTTTCTCATTTTGAAAAACTAGGGGAAAAAATGCTAGTTAAAATAGAAGGTTTTGAGGTTAAGAAGACTTGTGTATGTGTGTTTTATTTTTTTATTATTTTTATTTGTTCTTCTTTTGGGGTTTGAAAATGTATTATTACTTGTATGTTTTTATTCTTGTTGTTGTTTTGTTTTCTTTAAGAGTAAAATGTGTAAAGAAAAAGTTTAGTTAATCAAGGTTGTTTTTACTAAAGACCCATTTAATTAGATGGGTTGCTTGAATATAGAAGAAAAAAAGTTTTGAAAATTAAGGAAAATTAAAAGAATAAAATAAAATTAAATTGTTTGTGTTTTTTATAACTAAAGGAAAAAATAATAATAGTTAAAAAAGCAACAAAAGGAGTAAATACAATAGTATTAAAAAAAGTACTTTTTAGAAAATGTTTATAAGTAAAAGAAGTTTCAAAAGTTTTGGGAATAAAATTGTAACTCAGTACTTTTCTAAAAGTGCTAAAATAGCTACCAAATGTTTAAAGTTAAAAAAAATTAAAAAAGGTACTAAAATTATGTTTTTTTAAAAAAGTACTAACATGGTACTTTTTCAAAATATTACAAATAATAAGAAAACTACATTTTTTTTAAGAGTTGTAATAATGAGTAAAATTTTTTAAAAATATAAATAAAGTTTTGCAAACTAAAATCTTGCAAAAAGTACTTTAGTATCAAAATAGTACTTTTTTAAGTATGGAAAAAAAGACCCTCAACTTTTCTAAATCTTTTATGGTGAAACATAAACATGGTACATTGTACATAGCATTAGGATTTTTTTCAATAAAATAGTACCTTTTCATAAGTACAAATAATTTAGTTCAAAAAATACGTTAGTACCAAAAAGGTATTTTTTAAAATTAGAAAAACAGTAGCA